ATAATGGAAGGAACTAAGTCCAATGGAGGCATGGATTTCTTTATTGTTATTCCTTTGTATGGTTACTCATCTTAAAGTACAACTCTGGGCAGCTCACATCAAAAATCTAAAGGCCCAATGACACTTCTTCTCAAAGAACTTTAAAAAAAATTCAAGAAGGTTCCATACTCATTTCCACTATTCAGGTGACCCTGAGGGCACAGACAAGCCTCCAAGTGGCCTCAATGATTCTCAGAATGAGATGACTGCAAGGAGTATAAATCCTTCCATCCTCCACCATTTAGTCAGAATTGAAGAAGCTTCTTGGATGGGAAGTGAAATGTCTTCAAGGAAAAGCAAAGAAAGTCCAATTGCCTCTTGAAAAAGCAACTTTGGGACATCCATGACCTGGATGACTGAGAATCCCCATAGATATCTTCCCAGAGTAATCTACCCTTGGAAATTTGAGGATGGCTCTGCACTAAAACAGCTAGGAGGGATATAGGAATGGAATAAGGATGAAAGTGAGGTCTGAGACTTGTTTTTTAACGGTGATTGGGCATATTGTTTCAAGAGCATCTAACAAGTTGATGTTATTTAGAATTTTTTAAAAAGAATTTATTTTGCCACTTTAGATAAAGTAACATGCATATTCACATTTTTAAAAGGGAAGTTTCTTGGGCAATTTAACCGGAAGTAAAATTCTCACTTTCTCATGCAACAGTTCCCAATTCTTGTTTGATTTTAGCATGTAATAGCCTTTTGCTCATCTAAAACATGCCTATCTGTAAGCAAATTTTGATTTTATTAATCTGCTTGATAATGCTGTTGTATTATTTCCAATGATAGCACGAAATTGTACAATGCACCATTAAAGTCTAATATGATTGAGGTACAAAGCTTAGTCAAACAAATTTGCAGAATAACATATCTCCCCATTTCTGTGCAACTGTACTTAGCCACAATAAATACACTGTATATTAAAAATTATTATCACCTTGGAATTTTGACTGTATGATTTTCAAATACTTAAAAGTAAAACTTATAGTGACATCATTAAGATTTTTCCCAGAAATAATTGGTGGAAATTCCTCCCACTTACTAATGTTTTCATATTACTCACTTCATTTTTTCATACAGCTAGAGAAATATTTAAATAACTTTGTTATTAAAACATAGGGGAAAGTTAAAACTGTACATGTGTTTACAAAAAAGCAAGGCTTCTTATAAATAGTGTAGAATATTAAAGCATTAATACAAAAATAAAGTTGAAAAAAGGAATGATTTTTTTCTTTGAATCATTTGCAACATAAGCATGCTAATTAATACAAACCAAATTATTCCTTGCCCTTTGGGGTCGTAGTCTAAATCAGGGGTCTCCAACCTTGGCAACTTTAAGACTTGAGGAATTCTGAAAATTGAAGTCCACAAGTCTTAAAGTTGCCAAGGTTGGAAACCTCTGGTCTAAATTTTCTTTTGGTGTATTTAATTGTATTTTTAGTGCTCTAAAAATATTATTTAACAGAGCTGAAAGTAGAATTCTATTTAATCAGTGGAACAAACCAATTGACATATTTATGAGCTGTACCATCTGGCCTTTCTCCCTGCCCTTGTCAAGATCCAATTGACTATTTCCTTAAATTATAACCTTCTGGTTGCTGGGCCTGTTTAGCAGTACTAAACAACTATGAAATAAATATGCTGGGTTCTGTCATTCATACTATTTATGACAGGAATTCACTGGGGCTCTAATACAGGAGACAGTTTTTGCAGGTTTATTTGCCTTAAATATTGCATATTAATTAACAGAATCTAAGCTATATCTGAGACAGCTGCCACATTTGCTCTTCACTATGATATTAGTTTTCATAATTAGATGCCAATCAAACAATGGAAAACCTTTTTTCTGGTTGTATGTTTAAATTTTATTGGTGGTCTGGGTAGTAGCAGCTCACCCTCTTATTTAATTGAAAAGAAATTGAGAAGCCAAAAGCCATAGATGTTCACCTTGGAGCAGTAAGCGCTATTATCTGAAGATGAAAGAGTGTCATCAGTCCTCTGCCTATGACTGGTGCGTAAGTTGATCATCATTTTGCTTGTCCTCTGCGGAGGTGAGAGCCAATTAAGATAGTCCAAACCTAGTGCCTAATGGATCCAGATGATTTCCTGAGGGCACTTGGGGGCATTCACATAAATGGTCCCACTGCATATCTGGTTGCACTCTGGAGTTCAGAGGTGACTACGGCATTAGATGAAATTGCCCCCAAGCAGCTTCTCCTGAATCTCAAATGATGAGATTATCTTAATTTTCTATAGGACTTCAGGAAATGAAATGAAACTGATGGTGGTGAAAAGAATGAATGTAACTGAACACAGTGGGTGCATCCATGTTCAGGAGAATTGTGTGGCAGTAAAATTGATAAAATATTCTCCACCCTGCCTGGGAGAACAGACTTGTTAAGATTATTTGGAGTTCTTTGCATATAGAGAAGTCCAATGTATCTTTTTTGCAAGATACTAAGGACAGGTTTAGACGATCCGTTTTCCCTTACAAACTCTATTAATTGAGGTGTGATTTCGAGCATGTCAGGTGGCAATAGAAAAATATAAAGAGCTGGGTTGGTTAAGACCAAAGTTGATCTAGCCTACTATTATTTTTCCACATTATGCAGTGCCAAAGGGTATTCCCCAACAGCCTCTAGAAAGCTTATGTAGCTATTACAGTGATTAGATGCACCATGTAGCTATTGCGATTATTACTTAATGATAATAACTTCATTCTCCATAAACTTGTTTAATCCCTTCATAAAGATTTCCAAGTTGATGATCATCATTACAACATAAAGTTGTGTATTCTATTAGTTCTGTTCTATAGCCTGTATACTAGGGTGAGGTGGTGTTGCTGGAAGGGGAGAGATTTACCATGTCTGGATTATAGCTCTCTTTTGTTATTGGATCACTCAAAGTTCTGGTATCTTTCAATAGGAGGTGTGGAATAGCTACCACCAACATTTAATGCAGACCCAATCTAGAAAGTCTATAAAATCTCTGAAAAGAAAGTTTCCATTTTTATTGTGAACTTAAATTTTCTACCATTCTAAAATTATATTGTGCTTGTAGCAACAGTTAAGTAGGTTTTCTTTAAAAAAAAACATGCTTTTCCCCTGTTTTTGTTTAATATCCATTTTGAATAAAACATCCCAGAGTTTTATTATCCCATTGTTATTTTGATTTTTGAAACAAGCAATTGTAAGAATTTTATAACCCTCCTTCCCCAACTATCTTTGCTTTCTTAACCTTTTTCATTACAAACCATAAATTGTTTCTGGAAAATTTTACAAGCTCATACTTGTTGAATGAAATAACTAAATGGCATCTTTGTTCTTGCCTCATGGTAGAATAACTGCAGTTGCTGATGAGTTCTACCTTAGTGATGTTTTGTTCAAGTTTCTTCTAATCATTGGCATCTTTCCTCATCAGTTGCTCCAGGCAGAAGTTGTACAATAGTTTTTTTTTCCCTTTTGTTCAGACTTCTAAACTTCAGTTTTTGAATCAAAACTGCAAGAAAAATCTTCTCTGTTTTGAAAACCAAGGTTTGGTTGTGGTTCTTTAGTTTCATTTAAACTCTTTTTTTAAGTTTCTGACTATTCAGTTTGTGTTTGCCTTCAACATGTGTTACTAGATGACTGTGTGTGTGTGTGTGCGTGCGTGCGTGGGTGCGTGCCTTCGTGCATGTAGACATTTACAGCACTTGTGTACCTTTTGACTCTATAAATCTTGCCCTGGCTTCCATGATCGTTGGGATGAATGTTCCTATTTTATAACACCCACCAGCTGTTCTTCATGTCAGGCCTGCCCCAGTCAGATCTCTTAAGAAAGAAAGACCCTCGACTCCATTTTGATAAAATGTTCTTTTACTAAAGGTTGCTGGCTTCAGTAAAGTCATCCTAGAATTAAATTTCCCATACAAAAAGGTACAAATTTTTCCCCTCATCCCAATCCTTCCCCCATGACTAATTCACCTTCAGCCAATGAAGAGGTTGTTTGGACAATGCTGAGATGTTTGGGGTAGCCCATATTTCAATCTCAGAAGTGTGCCCTTGTATGTTGGCACAAATTGATTCTGTGCTTTCCTGGTCTTTGTCAAGCTGTCATTCCACACTCCCTATTTCCCATCACATCCCCATACATGTTCATTGACCATTTGTCCTCCTTGCCCTCTCCCTCCTAGCCTTTGATGGCAGGATGCCAAAGGGGCGCAAAGCTGAAGATGGCAGACCTGATACCTCTCTGCTTCGAATTAGTAGATCCAACAGAGGAAACCAAATAGGAAAGCACAACCCTCTATATCTCAAGCTATTTAACTGAACAAGATGCACTCTATTCTAGAAGAGTGCTTATTCTGCTTGGATATTGCTTCTAGAAAGTTGCTGCTTGAGAAAGGAACATATCCTGCTCTACTTTTTTTGATTGGCTACAGAAAACCTCACAAGAACTGGACCACAGGTACACAAATATAAGGAAGTCCACTTTCAAGCATGATCTTCCCCACCAACCTGTTTCCACCTTCTTGACAATACCAACTAATCTATATATATAAAAACGCCTGTGTGTGTCTATGTGTGTATGTTCCAGCATAACTCTGGAACGCTTCAAGCAATTTCAATCCAACTTGGTACACGATGACTTACTCTCTGGAAACAAATATTGTGGGGGTAGGACACCCTAAAACCCCTAGGGGGTGTGTGTTCTGTTAAGATACAGCCTATTGTGCCTTAAAATTGCTTCTACTGTGCAGCAGAGTTGCCATGGCAACGGCTTCACATTCCTCCAAAAGGTGCTCCCTCTACTATGGGGGAGACAATCCAACATTAGAAATTATGTTTGGTCTGGACATTTTCCTCCTATAAATAAATACCCAGGCAACACCAGGTTATCAGCTAGTTTCAAATATAAAGGTATGTGGAAGACATATGTTTTTTACTATTCCATTATTTCTTTTTTTTAAATTGCTTTTCCAGAAATGGCAGTGTGTGGAAGATGCCAATGGAAAGTTGAAATTGCATAAATGCAAAGGCCTAGCTAGCCTTATGGCTCCAGACAGTAGTAAAGGAATCTCCAATCTCCTGCCCAAGTATTACAGCAAGAATAACGAGGACTGCAGCTGTGATGAGAATGAATACAAGCTGAGTCCCATCGGACGACGAAAGAAATTGTTCTCTAAGAAGAGTAAGTGAAATTCTTGAGGGTTTCCGTGTTGGTGGGAAAAATTCCGAAATAACTAAACTGTTTAAATCTACATATTTAGTTCATACTAAAAAAAAAATCTCAAAGCAGTTTAAAAATGTTCCAACAATGCAAAATAACTAAAATTTGGGAGAGTAATGAATAAACTATAATTCATTTTTTCACGAGTTGCAATAACTTTGAAGAGATCAATAACCTTGAAGCAGTGGACACCTTCCAATGTTGCACATTCGAATGTTGACTTTTGCAGTGGATCTTCCCTGCCCTTTCTTTCTCCTCTTGCCCTCTAGAGCAGCAGTCTCCAACCTCTCCGGCTTTGCAGACTGGCAGGAGGGGGGAGAAGGGATGGTTCCCTGCGAGTGGCGGGCACACATAGCTTCATTTGCGCTAGCAGCAGGCGCACCCACCCGCCCCTCACACAAATGGAGTTGCATGCGTGCGTCCATTCTGTGTGCTAGTGAAGCTGTGTGCGCTCTTGCCCATCACTTCTGCAGCCCGGTCCTGAACAGGCCACGGCCCGGGGGTTGGGGACCCCTGCTCTGGAGAACCTTCAAAATTCAACAGAAGACTTTGTAGGGTGCTAAAAGAAGAATCTAAACTGATCTCATTTCAGAAAACAGTCGCAATTGGAGTCAACCCAAAGTGTCTGCTGAAGATCTAGATAAAAGTAACATCTCATTAATGCTGAATTTGCCTCCTAATGGCTACATAAACAATGTCAAAGTGGTCTGCTCTCTTCCCGGAGGCGCTTTTGGCTTCCAGTCTGTCATCCTACACTAGGATTTCCTGATTGTCTCCAGTCTGGGTGTTAATCAGATCAGACACTGTTTAGATTCTTTTCAAGATCAGATAAAATCTGTTCAGTGTTGCCATGTGATTATGACTCTCAGTTATTTATTGTGTACATATGTGAAATATTTTAACCACAAGAATCTAAAAAAAAATTCTGCATAAAAGTATGATGCAGTTTTTATGTAAAAATGCAAAAACAAATACGAAGATACATGGGATATTTCCAACATTTAGTGAAGGAATCCAGAACTAATTAGAAGTAGATAAATGAGAGCACACTGGAGTATCAACTTTGCTTGCTTCTTAGAAATAGGGAGAAGTTTACTTGTTTAAACACAGACTTCTAATTTGACAAATTCTAATTAACTGAATAATAACTAATGCTAAAATAAATTCTCAGTAAAATACCATATTCCATTTAAAAATTAATTGATCCCCTGTCTGCATAAACCAACTACTCTCTCTTTCACAGCAGGCATAAATATGCTTTCTCCTCCCTCCAGCACAACCACAAAAATGAGTAAGAAAAAAATCAAATCAATGGAGTAGAAAGATCCATTGCAATAGAAACAGAAAGGAAATGGAAAAGAGAAAGAAAAAAATAAATATTTATATGGATTATAAAACAATTAAATTCACTAAGCAAGTAGCCCTATCCAGTCAACATTTACCTTCAAGATAAATGGGGATAGTAGTCAGGCTTCTGATCAACAAGCCCGAAGTGTCAACAGCTCAGCTTAACCACAGTTAAGAGTTATGTATAGTAGTCAATTTTCAGTTATGGATTGTTGGACTTTAAGTCGGCCACAGCTCCTCTGGTCTTCCCACTCTCAGCATCTTGTAATCTAATATATTATAAATGTATTTATAAATTTATAGGTCAGGGTTGAGCTATGGAGTTCTTGGAGCTTTCTGAGCTTGGTTGTTTGCTTGCAAACTTTTCATTACCAAGCTAGGTAACATCATCAGTGTTACATCATCAGTGAGTGTGGGCTTTGCTCCCTTTTTATATATAGTAACTTGTCTGGCCAAGTTAGTCCAGCATTTATCAAAGTACTTAAATAAGCACCAACTAAATGGGTGATTATTTAAGCACCCTGATAAATGCTGGATTAATAATTGTTTATATGTTTCTCTAACCCCCATAGCTTTCACCTTAAACTGTCTACCATGAACCTCACACCATTCCTAAGAAGGTTAGGGGAAGTGCATAAGCGCACCAGCGTGCCTACCATCCCTGTCCTACTATCCCAATTTATTTGCATTCATTTATTTTGTTTATATCCATATTTATATTTATATCTGCTATCTTGTACAGGTCAAACTCAAAATATTAGAATATCGTTCAAAAGTTCATTTATTTCAGTAATGCAACTTAAAAGGTGAAACTAATATATGAGATAAGACTCATTACATGCAAAGAAAGATAGTTCAAGCCGTGATTTGATTTTTTTCTTACTCATTTTTGTGGTT